TGTCCCCCTGTCCCCGGCAGCGTCCCCCTGTCCCTGGCAGTGTCCCCCTGTCCCCAGCAGTGTCCCCCTGTCCCTGGCACTGTCCCCCTGTCCCCAGCAGTGTCCCCATGTCCCCAGCACTGTCCCCCTGTCCCTGGCAGTGTCCCCCTGTCCCCACCACTGTCCCCAGCAGTGTCCCCCTGTCCCTGGCGCTGTCCCCGCGCCGTCCCCGCGCTGACCCCGGTACTTGAGGTGCTGCAGGATGGGGATGATGGTCTCCAGCGGGATGTTGTGTGCCAGGAACAGCTGCCAGGTGCAGTACTGCTCAAAGGTCTCCCAGTCCAGGCTCTGAACTGCGCCCGCACGGGCACAGAGGGACAGGGGGACGGACAGGGGGACAGAGACAGGACAGCGGGACGGGGGGATGGACAGGGACAGGGAGGGGACAGCAGGATGGGGGGATGGACAGGGGGACAGAGAGGGGACAGAGGGACAGGGGGATGGACAGGGGGATGGACAGGGGGACAGGGAGGGGACAGAGGGACAAGGGGTACGGGGACAGGGGGACAGAGGGATGGCAGGGACAGGGGGACAGAGGGGACAGTGGGACAGGGGGATGGCAGTGATGGATAATGGTGACAATGGGGTAATGGGGATAACAGGGACAATGGGGATAACAGAGATAACAGGGATAGTGGGGATGGATAACAGGGACAATGGGATAGCAGGGATAACAGGGATAGTGGGGATGGATAACAGGGACAATGGGATAGTGGGGATGGATAACAGGGACAATGGGGATAACAGGGATAACAGGGATAGTGGGGATGGATAACGGGGACAACAGGGATAGTGGGGATGGATAACAGGGACAATGGGATAGCAGGGATAACAGGGATAACAGGGATAGTGGGGATGGATAACAGGGACAATGGGATAGCAGGGATAACAGGGATAACAGGGATAGTGGGGATGGATAACGGGGACAATGGGATAGTGGGGATGGATAACGGGGACAATGGGGTTAACAGGGATCTGTGCCAGCCCCTTCCCAAGCTCTGGGGACCCCCAAACCTGCCCGGGGTCCCCCCACCCCTCCGGGCACTGGGAATGGGGACAGAGCCTGTCCCGGGCAGGGGCTGCGGGGCCAGAGCTAACGAGGCTCCCTAATTAACGAGCTGATCCCGCTGCTGCCAAAGCTGGATCAGGGAGAGCGGGATCGGCTCTGGGAGCACCGAGGGACCCCACTGAGAGGCAGATTTGGGGATTTTCCCCATTCCCTGCCTGGCACGGCGGGAGCTGCCGGGAATGGCACCCAGGGCAGGGCAGGGGCACGGGGATAAATCCCAAAATCCGCCTTGGGGCCGTGATCCTTTGTGCCCACAGGGAATTCAGCCCCGGGGGAGGGAATTCCCAGGAATCAGGGAGCAGAATTCCAGCCCTCCCAGACCTCTGGGGCTTTCGGGGCAGGAGAGAAAAAACCCAAATCTTTTAAGGTGGGAATGCAGTGGGAATGGGATACAGGGGAGAAAAACCACCCCAAATCCTCAGGGAGGGAATTCCCAGGAATCAGGGAGCAGAATTCCAGCCCTCCCAGACCTCTGGGGCTTTCGGGGCAGGAGAGAAAAAACCCAAATCTTTTAGGGTGGGAATGCAGTGGGAATGGGATACAGGGGAGAAAAACCACCCCAAATCCTTTAGGGAGGGAATTCCCAGGAATCAGGGAGCAGAATTCCAGCCCTCCCAGACCTCTGGAGTTCCGGGGCAGGATCTGGGGGTGCCCCTGCCCGTTCCCCTGGGAATGGCACTCACTGAGGATGTTCAGCACGGAATCCTTGCGGAACATGACGAGGTTTCCCATCATCACGTGGCACACGAGCTCCTGGAGCTGGGATTGGGGTGGGGGACAGGGAATGGGGTCAGGATCCAGCGGGAAAAACGCCAGCAGCACCCCTGGGATGGCAGCTGGGGTGGGGGGCTCCCCGCTCTGCCTCCCATCCTCCTCCTCCTCCTC